GTAACTCATCTGGTTGATGGACCAGCCTAAAATTCTATTTGTTCCAGGGTTCTCTAATATTTTAATTGATAATGAAAAAAAAAACACATGGTAAGGGATGATTAATCAAAGGTTGTGCATATTATTTTTATACTATCGATATAATTCAATTACAAACATTAACCATTAATTTTTTTTTCTTTCAATAAAATATAAGAGAAGAAGAAAGAGTCAACTAATGATAGAAGTAGTGAATGCTTTAATTAAGATATTAACACGTTGAACAAGAGCAACACTCCGTCAATATTCATGGATTGGACAAGACAAATTCTGATGGAGATGAAAGTGTTTTTATAGGTGGAGATAATTGTGGGGATGATTGTAGAGCGATCTCGAAGAGTCCAAAATAAATTCTGTAGTAATTTTCTGACGGTTAGGAGTAAATCAAAGTAAGATTTGATTATGTATTAAAGGAGTTAACTCCCTCACATTGGTTTTGTATGCTAATTGCCTAATTTTGGTGGGGACTTCTGTAGATGAATTGGTTAATATGTAGGCAATCTTCTGATGTGCCCAATAAATTAAATATTTCGGATTAAAGTATAAAAACTTGCATCGTATTATTATTATTATTGCTTATGCAATCGACAAAATACATCCGGCCAACGGGCGGGCCACCATCTAGTAATACCAATAAACGTTGCTAGATTAATGCAGCTTCCTTCCAGTGCATAGCAGAAGCAGCGAGTGTCAAGGCAGAAGTTGGGGAACCTTTTAATGAATGTTGGAATCCGGTTATGAGTAAAGAGAGACCGATTGTTGGAGGGAAAATAGCAAAGACGCTATTAACAGGAAGTTCCCAAGTCACAAAACCAAGCTTGCAAAGCGACTAAAAGGAGAGAGGACGCAAAATAGTTCCTCCTAAGCAGACGACTCATCGAAAATTACCAAACAAATTGAATCAATATCATTAAGGCATTCTTATAGAAAAAGAAATATCATAGAGGGCATACAGTTCTTTGTCCTAGAATTACCAAGTAGCATCACAGATGAACTCATCTTCAGTCCCTTAGTCGTCAATCCTAACATATAAAAGGCATCATTGTAAAGAAGTCCTCATTGGGGATCTCGTTATTGGAATAGAAAAGATGAACTTCACAAGCACTTGATCCTCTCGGCAGTTTTAGCAGCGAAGCAAGAACTTTGCGGTCCTTTATGTCAAGGTCAACGTTAACCACGCGGAGATTCACCTTGTTCAGTACAGCTTCAGCCTTAAGCAAGTACGCTACCATTTTCATCTCATCTTCGCCTGCTGCGAGATCATTGATCTCAATTTCCTCGAGGCTTGACAACAAGCACTCGGGCGTGCGAGCAGGTTCCGACTCCTCCCATTTTGTTCTAACTAGACTATTCCCCTGTTTCATGTACATTCAATATACATTCGTTATCAACAACATGGAAGTTAGTTTTCAGTATACGGATTAGGGAAACTCACAAAGCAGATCACAAGAGATTGTAGCTGTGAGGCTGAGTTGAGGAAGGGGTGCAGAACGCAGCTGCTTCCACCGCCTTCGAGTGTCAGATGTGTCAGCTTGGGAAAGACTGGCAGTTGATCATGTTGAACAAGCACTGCGAGAAGACTCTGCCACAAACAAAGCAGCTCCAATAGTCAGCTTTCGTAGAACCAAACTAATCAACAGAGAGGGAAAATGTAATGTGGAGAGACAGGGAGAAAATGGTTGATTACAAGAATCCGCCAAGACAACCTCAATTCCTTTGCATTGGAGATATGGGTGAGGAACACCATTAGGGGATGTTCTTCATGGGTCCACCGAATATCAATCCGTGCTGAAACAAGGCATGGCAACTGACTACTGCCCCAAAATCCAAACTCCTCAAAATCCACAAGACGAAGATGCTCAAGGCTTGGTGCATCGACTACAATGAGACACAAATTAGGATCATGACCGCCAGTGCCAATAATCGCTAAGTTCTTCAAGGATGGTAAGGAAGCAGTGATTACGTAGTTCTCATTCTTGTCTGAGATAGAGGAGTAGCAATATTTCATACGAAGAGTCTCTAGCACAGGGCAACCAGAAAAGAGCCGGGCTAAAGACTCGCAATCTGTAATCTCCACACTGAAAAGCTGCAAAACCTTTAAGCTAGGAAGGAAAACATACCCATCCCCAGGAGTTAGCATAACGAAGTCGAGCTTCAAAACCATGAGATTCTTCAAAGCGTAGAAGCTCTGTGGAAGCCCGCGCATACCAGAATGACGCGGAGGGCGAACATCGATCTCCTCAAGCTGAGATGCATTGGAATCCAATTCCATCTTACACCAGAAACTTGAACTCGGCCTGGAGTTCGTTGAAAAAAGTAGACGCAAACGCCTCAGGGAATTGAGATTCATGTGCTCGCTCAGAACTCTATCGACGAAGCGGGAGAACGCCAGGTCTCTCGGCTCTTGAGATGGAACATGAAGGGAGTCGACGAGATCGAGAATTGAAACCCTAGTCCAGAGATACTTCCACCGTTGGCTTAGGATACTGGTGCTGACGGCGTACTTGGTTTCCAGGAAAGAGAGAATGTGGGAGAGGATTTCGCCCGGTAGAGAGCTCAGTCTATCGCCATCGATACCGGTAGCTGGGAGGTTCCTTTTATCTGCCCTCGCCATTGGCGTCTTCATTGACGGAGGGCGATGGGGGTGTAGTGAAATTTTAGGGCTCTACGACTGCAACTGAGAATGGGGAGGAGAGAAATTGACGATCTTACAAGGATTTTGTGAAACTGTAAGCTTGGAACTGTTGCTGGTTAATCGGGGCGGATAATCCATCAGAGTCAGACATTGATACATAAACAAACTGCGAAACGGGCGGTCCACGGCCGGGATGGAAACTCTTTTGGAGACTGGAGTTCTAATTTTCAGGGTCGAATGCATCTAAGTGTTTTACTTTTGCATGTTACCAATGTAACTTTTTTTGGTAGCAACTAAAACATACCAGTTTATTTTTTTAATATTTTCGTATGGCCTGAACTTTGACCAAAATAAACATACTGGTCAATCTTTTCGATCTATAATATTCTGGCCCGAAATATACACAAAAATAAACAATTTGGCCAAACCCGATGTTTGATCGTTAACTTGGATGGTCAAACACGTTGACTAACGGTCAACGCGTCACGTCACTGCCAAGTCAGAAGATCTGATAAATATTTAATTTTTTCATTTTTTATTTTTGGTTTAACTAAGTTATTAGATGATTTTTTTTAATTTATAATAATTTAAAATTAGGGAATGTGTTGAAATTGTGAATTATTTTAAATATTTTATGTTGACTTGGCAGTGACATGGCGCGTTGACTAACGGTTAACGCGTTTGACCGTCCAAGTTAACGTTCAAAAGTCGGATCTGGCCAAATTCTTTATTTTGGTGTATAGTTCGGGCCATGATGTTATAGATCGAAAAGATTGGACAAGATGTTTATTTTGGTCAAAGTTCAGGCCATACGAAAATATGAACCCTTTATTTTTTGTTGTACCGTCTCTTTGTCTGTCTTTAAAGTTAACGGCATGTATCAAAAGATAATTTTCATGACACATCGACAATCCAACTCAGGTTAATTGCTGAGTCAGATGATATGCTTCCTTTTACATGTGAGGCCGGTAATTTTTGGAGCCCTTATCCGAATTTCCTCCCCTCCACCTCCATCGTCCCTAGCCGAGCTATGCTTCTCCAACGCCAATTCTGTCCCTCACTGCTCCGCTCCAAGAAATCGAAATACAAACCTTTAAGCTCATCAAAGGTGTTGAAAATGCAATCGTTGACCCCCTGAGATATCTCGACCAAGTTTGACATCAGGACTTCCCAGACGAGTTACCAATCAAGATTCCTTGAAATGTAGCGGCAAAACGAGGAAGGGAGATGTTTGGCGTTGAAAGACAACGAGTCAGAAAAACCATCAAACTCTATGGAGTTCTAATTCTTGAGCACCTTTGAATTTCCAAACAATAGGACTTGCTGGAATGCACAGGAGGAGAAGCAGGCAAACTAGAGGGATGCAAAGGTGATGGTCGAGGGCCAGAGTCCATTCGAGGAAAAATAATAGCAGATGGCGATGATGGGTCCAGGTGGAATCTAACCCATTATGTAATGCGTAAAAATAAGATAATTTGGGGAGGGTGGGGATGAAGGCAAGATGATGTTATCAATGCTGGCGGGGCGGAGAGGGAGAAAGGAACGATGAGGTGTTTGATAATTAGTTGGTTGAGGGCTAGGAGTGGAGAGGACTAGGGAATGGTGAATTTTGACAATGGTGACGAGTGTACCGGAGAAGTGGCGTGGAGGTCAAGCTAGAGGTATAGATCTAGCCTCAAGGAGATTATGGACAGCAAAAACTCTTTGCATTAGATCTTTAGATGCTGAAACCCGTGGTTGGGTAACAATATCAATGAACGTTCGATAAAATAACGCCGCTTCCTTCGAGACTTATGGGTCATTTGCTTGTTGGATTTTAGAATCGGATGGGGCCGGAAGTCAGCATTCGGAAGGGCCCGACGTCTGCATTCGGACAAGTAGACGGCGTCGGACCAGGTGCAGGTGTCTAATCTCCCGCCTCGTCCGAGGCCTTCCCACCGTTAGACTATTCCCCTGGTCGCCGGTTACTCTCTTTTTTTTGTCGTAAAATTCTTTTAGCAAAGAAAAGAAGACTTACTCCTCTTTGTGCTGAATAAGATTCTGTTTTGATCAATAATTTGATAGAAAAATTAAAAAAGGCCATAACCGATTTTTTTGCAAATTTTGTGGGCGGAAAATAATAAAATCTAAGGCGGCAAATAACAGCTCTCTTTGTAAATCCCATATTTTATTTGGGATTTGGTTGATTGAAGGCATATCTATGGGGCTCTGGGTACAAAAAGCTACAAATCCGTAATACAACAAATCCATCACAAGTCCTAAAGTTTTCACAACTAAAAATCCGACTTCTGACCCCGTCCGATCTCCAACGTCGGACCACATTCGAATGCCGACGTCGGACAGCTTCCGATCTCCGACGTCCGGCCGCGTCCGAACGCCAACGTCAGGCCTCGTTCGGACTCTGATGTTGGACAGTGCACCTCATTCAGACGATGGGGAAACGATGATGCCGAGAAAGCGGATGAAGATGTCGAAGGAATCGTTGCGGAAGAAAACAAAGGAAGGGAATCGTCACTGGGATTTGCGAGATTATGCCGGCAATGTCGCAGAATAAAATTAGGTTCTAACGTGGGAGATTTGGGGAAAGGGAAGGTGAATCATTGTCGGGATGTCGTGAGATTTGGGGGAAAGAAAGATTCTGGGAAACACAATAATTATTTTTTTCACAGAGCTATTTTGAACGTTGAAATAGAATTAACAATAAATGTTCTACAAAAAAATAATTAACAATAAATGGGAAGAATTAAGGAGATATAAGTTAATATTTTATGAAAGAAAACACTCGGAATTAAGGAGATTGAAATACAATTAACAATAAATGGTTCAATTAATCTCCGACGACCAGCATTTTTCGGCGAACCTCTAGAACTCCGGCGGCCTCCAGGAGATGCATTAGACGAGATGTGGTGATGTTATTAATTAGGTTAGAAAGTTAGATTATAGGATTGAGTCTAATAAAAGGGGAAAAATGTCATTTTGTTTTAAAGTGTGGGCGGCAAATAGTAAATACCCGAGCAACAAATAGCAGTTCATTTCAAATTAGAGCAGGGGCAAATTTGTCATTTTTTTGTAACTATGAGCGGGAAATAGTAAAACTACGGGAGGCAAATAGCTATAAAAATCTGTAGGGTCCACGGATTTGGATCTAAAAAATTGTCCAAATTGATGGGCCCACTAATTTGGTATCCAAGCTTTTGATACAACAAACAATGGAATTGGTTAAATCCATCATGCTTGGGATTTGGGTGACAAATCCATCGCCCAAATCCAACAAGCAAACAACCCCTTAGTGATGACACTTTGAATTCGCCCTTCCGGTACTACCTGACTTGACTCGTGATAGGGCTAGTATTATTTGATCCGCAGTAATATGGAGTGGGGCATGAGTATCTACTTCCGACTTGTTCTGTCCAACCCCATTCTTGGCCCATATCTCAATTTCTTACAGTATCTATTCATATTTATAACATTTTGACTTTTCTTCAACTAGCTAAACTCGTTCTTTTAACTAGGAGCTCAATTGTTCATTCAATTATCACTATTTTCAATTCATAAAGTGTTTTTCCTTCCTTTTATCTTAAAAAAGTAAACTTTTGCGTGCATTATCAAATAACATGTAACAGAGGGTCGACCCGCCCAGCCCCAATTCGTAGAAGCATGGGGCGGGGCATGGGTAATGAGGTACCACGCCCCCGCCTCATTACCATCACTACTTCCAGTGCATAGCAGCACTAGCTAGTGTCGAGGAAGAGAAGTTTGGGAACTTTTTAGGGTTGACCGTTAAACGTTTATTTCAAAGTTTAGTTATGCCCAAATTTTTAAATAATACAGTTTCAAATAATACATTTATGGCCAATTTTTAAAAATAATGGATAAATTTAGTTCAAAGTTTGGGTTGACCGTTAAACGTTTATTTTGTTCGTGACTCAGTGTCCAGTGTCGAGGTGCCAACGATGTGGCTTCCATGTCATTTATATTTATGTAAAAAAAATTAAAAAATACATCAAAATAAAAACAAGTTATTGAAAATAAGAAATAACTTTGAAAATAAAAAAGAAAAAATTCCAAGAAGAGGAATATCGGGGTTGCATTGCATTAGAGTTGATCAATGAGGAATTGATCGGTTTAGGAATGAGGTGAGAAGAGTATGGTAGAATTGGGAAAGAGGAGAAGGGAAAGAGAATAAATTGCGGCATCAGCTTGTAGGGAGAGGAGAAGGGATCGGCAAAGGAGGTAGGGAGAGAGAATTAGGCAAAGTAATTTGTTTTAATCTTGCTTACCCTCTTCTACGTCGCATATAGTTTAAATACTAAAACCACAATTGCCTATAACTACCTCAACTTATTAATCCCCAAATTATCCCAAAATAACCAATCAAACCCTACACAATAAAATCCAACAAATCAGTCCAAAGTGCAAAACTAAAATAGCAAGTTTCTATCACACAACCCAGTCCAAAGTGCAAAACTAAAATAGCAAGTTTCTATCACACAACCATGATTTTCCATCTTCCATAACCTGAATCTGCAGGACCCTGCCCCCCTCTATTGCTAGTGGCTTCAATTCCGATGATTGAAATTCGGATTTCAGCCCGAAATTGCCAGACCCTACCCCCTCTATTGTTGGTGGCTTCAATCCCGATTCATCAACGAAGGTCGTGAAATTGCCTCACAGTTCCTCTTCTATTCCCCACCAAGCTCCAAACCACTCAAACCCTTCTCATCGCCCGCTTTGCCACCCACCTCCTCACAATCCCGCTCCACCATCAGCTTCCTCCATTTCTCCACTCAGTAATTGAATCCCAATGCATTTTATTCTTCCTCCACCTTGCTATCCGGATCAAATTTGAGAACCGACCTGAGGCTCCTCTCATCTCGACATCTCGAAGAACTGCACCGCTGAAAAAGATGAGTCCGAGGAGGTAGAAGCCGATAGTCGGCTGAACAATCACCGATAGATGACTTAAGTTCCAATCCTTAAACCTCATTCTTTAAGAAGAATTTTAAAGCCTTCATATTGGCTCATAATGGATTAGATAGTTAATGGACAGTTAGTAGTTAATAGGTAGTTGATGATAAATGAGATATTATGCAAATATGATTAATATAATTGACATTACTAATTTATGATTCTCTTTCTCTCTCCCCTTATCTTCACCATAATTCTCTCTCCACTATAATTAGAAGGAAATCCAAAATTAATTTAATTAAATATTATTATTTAATATTCAATAAAATTCGAACGTAATATTTTCTATTTTTTAAAATGGAAATTGAAAATAAAAAATACATGCTCTTTCTTACTTTGTGGCAACTTGCAATGTAGTGTTAACGTTTTACAATGGTATTATCAACGTTTATGAAAACGAATGATTATTGGGGGTTTTCGTTGCATGGGTTTAGGATTTTTCGTTGTTAGGTATTCTTTTGTGTTATTATTAATGTAGTTCGACATGTTTTTTTCAATAATGTTATATGGGATTATTAACATTTTTCATGTTTCATTTTGTTTGTAACATTCACAAAAGTGAAATTGTGTTTTCAATTTGTTGCTACTTGAAGACTGAAGTTCATTCACTATTACATTTTAGTATAAATACAATATAATAGCAAAAACTCTCATTTTAAACAAAATAATAGCCAAATAGTTTTCAAAACAATTTAATAGCCAAATCGTTGACTTTCCATTTGGTCAACTGTTAGTTGACTCTAACGTGACAGTTATATCGCTGAGTTGGATGTCAATTGGTGACATGGCAAATGATCAACCATTGACTCTGCCACTTGGATATCTATTAATTTATATGATTATTATTTTGATAAAATAAAATAAAAAATAAACAAAAAATAAAAATCAAATACACGTAGAGATGGCAATTTTGTCCATACCCATGGGAATTTTAGTGTCCAACCCAATTGGGTTGGGTATGAAATCCAAATAGATGGTTGATGGGTAGAGTTTGATAGGTTTGTACCCATACCCATTTACTTGGGGTGAGTTGGATTTTTAACAAATGGATTTGGGTTTTGTACACATGCCCAAATGCAAATTACAGTTTGGTAGATATGCATATTTAGTACCTAAATTTAATTTTTTTTGCATATAAATCCTCGAAATATCGATGGAAATTATATTTTAGTGCGTAAAATTTTTCGGTCTTACATTTTGGTACCTAAACTTTTCAAGCTTTACAAATAGGTCCAATTTTTGTATATGTAGTTAAAACATTCTCAAGTAAATGGATATCCATATCTAGGGATGACAAGAAAACCCGAACCCACGAGTACCCTACCCGACCCAACCTGCGTTGACGGGTTTCGGGCCGAGTTTGGGTATAAACCCGTACACTGTTCGCCGGGTTGGGTTTGGGTTTAAGGATACCCGACCCATGGATATTCGCACTCACTTATTTCGTCGCCCTACTCTCCCCAAACCCTACCCTAATTCCAATTTTTCCCAATCTAACTCTCACTACACTTATTCTAAACGATTTTGAGCCTTTAGATCACAAACGTTTTGAAAAACGACTTAAAAACGAAGAAGTTACCATATGGTATGTAGTTGGTAAAAAAAATAGTTTCTCGTAATATATTGAAAATTGATCTCATTTTGTAGAGCACAACGAACTCGTTCCATGTGTGCAAAAAAAATTGAAATCCGAGTTAAGACGAAGAAGATAAGAGCCGATTATGAAAACTAGGGAAAACAAAATGTCTTTAATTGACAACTCTTGTATCTTAATTTTCTGGGTCCACTTAGATCTAATGGTCCAGATTTAATTACTCATAGGTTACTGACCCTATCCTAAGCCCAAGAATCCAAAATAGAAAAGGAAAGGAATCGGCCTAAAACTAGAGCATTTTTACACAAGTAACTAACTTCGTGCCCAAATTGCAATTCCTACTATTTCTTACAACTTGACCTCAATACCAAGTGGAAATTATGCTCAAAGATTCAACATTCTTCAATCCTCAATTGATCACAATCGACACCACAAATCTTTCCAAAAACCCTCCTGGCAAGTAACTGTGCTTCCATTGGACAAAGCATCCTCTAACCATACTTTGATTTCGCCTCAATTTTGAACTCTAATTCTAACCAAACCCTACACCACCACAAAAATCTTGGAATTAGACATAGGAAGAGGGTGCGTCAGGTTTGGCATATGAAGGGAAGACGAGGTGAAAACTATCGAATGGAGCTCGACTTTGACGGTTGGGACGAACTTGCACCACGGTAAATAGACGAGCGAGGCTAGTAGAGACTGTAACAGTTAGGAATTGATTGCAAGAAATTAGAAGTTGATTGTAACAGATGTCAAATGAAAGGACCAATCTGTAAAAGTGTATACAGGGCAACTTAAAACCCGCCAAAGCCAACCGACTACCCCTAATGAATCGAATAATATATATTCTCTTTCCATCTCTCTCTTCTATGTCTTCTTCTTCCTGAACCTTCAAGCCGCCATTGCCAAATCAACAAATTAATTCTAGCTAAAGTGTTCAATCGATCATCCTGGGGCATCACAAAGTTGTATAAGACCCTTCCCTTGGCAAAATGACGATGGCATGACTGGAGGAACGCCTTAAATCATACATTTCTCAGAGCTCCGACGAGATTGGAGGAATTCGTGAGCAAGTAATGACTCTGGAAGGTCAGATGATGACGGTAACCGATCAGTTGCGAGAAATCGTCGTCAGATCTGAAGCTCACTCTCGTCAACGACAGATTTGATCAAATTGAAGGCAGATTGGAGGTCGAATGGGCAGATTGGAGGCGCGTGTCAACGACAGATTTGATCAAATTGAAGGTCGTTTTGATCGATCCGAAGCACTAATGCACCGAATGGAGTTAGGTCAGGATCGTTTAGTGATTGTTTTTGCTGGTGAGGGTGGGCCGCTGGTTGATCGGAATGGTGATCGAGCATTACTACCGTTGTCGGATGCTCCTTCGTTCAATGGCGAAAATCCTAGAGAATGGACAAGGAAATGTGAGAAAATGTTTGAGATTTATGAGATCCCTGATGATAAGAAGTTTTTATTGGCAGTGATTTACTTCGAGAAACATGCTGATATTTGGTTTGAAGGATGGAAGGTTGGCCATTCAGAACTGATTTGGACAGAATTCATAACTAAATTGTGTCATCGTTTTAGTGATTGGTCTTATGGTGATGTAGTAGGGGAGTTCAATATGATCAAACAAAGAGGTTCATTGGTAGCCCAAGAGTGATTTGAAGAGCTGTGTTCTTAGATGATGCAATATAATCTGTAATTCTTTTAGGCCTATTTCATTTTGAGTTTCATCAGTGGTTTGGAGGAGGAGTTGAGATATGTGGTTAATATGATGGAACCCTATTGGAACACTATTCATTGGCTGATACGAGCATGGAATCAGTACCCGTAGTTATCAAAGTAACGCAGCTTCAACAACGAATAAGAAAAGGGAGTTTTAGGGTTTTTGTTTTGGGATGGACGGAATTAAAGGTGCAATTCCACATCTGGGAGAAGGCTCTATCAATATAAGGGATAGAAGCTCGACCACCATCAAGATGGATGCTTGATTGATACAGAGACACACTCAATACTATTGGAGACCACCAACGACGAGAGCAAATTCACAAGCACAAAAAGCTCAATGAACAAAAGGGACTTTTATATTAATCAAACTCTAATCTCTCAGACCAAAGTTTATAGTCCTTTAAATAGGTCTGGAAAATAAAACTAATGAAAATACCATAAAGGACAATAATCCTAACACAAAAAGGTAACTAAACTCGTCAGGTCCCGATCTCTGGTCTCAATCCTGGGTCAGGGATCAATGCTCTTTTAACCGGGGGCTCTTATGCTTGAGATCCCCGCTCTCCCTCTTGATTTCGCGGTAGGCAAATATTATGGGACAATCCAAGTACCACTCGGAAATTAAAAGGAAGGAACCCTTGTATATAAGTGTCTACCTAGCCCAATTTGTCCGAGGCCTTTTGGGGAGGACACCCAAGAGTAAAACCGTGCGGGCTTGGCCCAAAGCGGACAATATCATACTAACTGAGCAGCCCGATTTTGACAAGTGGTATCAGAGCCTAGTTAAGTTCGGGGAGGTGGACATCAATTTGGTGGACCCTCATTCGGTGACCTCGGGATTCGAGATATGCGTTTTTCTGGTGGAAAATCCTTGTACCGACAAGCCCATCGATACAAGGTGTCCGGCGGATCAAGATAATCGCTGAGGTGAGGACACGATGTTCTTGGTCCTTGGCTTGAGGGGAGGATTGTTGTGAAAAAATCCAAGTACCACATCGGAAATACAAGTGAAGGAACCCTTGTATATTAGTGTCCACCAATCTTATTAGTACGAGGCCTTTGGGGAAGGAAATCCAAAAATTAAATCCGCGCGAGCTTTGGCTGCAGCTTCCCGAATTTCGCGGCTTCTCCATACAAGATTGCAGGCCTGATCTTAGGCTTAAGGCCGCATTATTTTTTTTTTAATTCGTTGCCTTTTGAGTCCCGACCGTGATCTTAGCTCCTTTGGCTGTAAATTCCCTTTTTGCCCTTAAACTCTACACTTGTGATCCCCTTTTTTCCCCTAAAACGCAAGTATCATCTAATACACCCTAAAATGACACGAATTACTTCGAGGAACGGATTCGGAATGCATTTGATGATATATTACCCATTGAAATCATAAATGACCTAAAAATACCTAGAATATAGAGGCTAAATAACATCATTTTGGGTGTTATCTATGCACCCACTAGATCAACATAAAACTGCCTTTAGGACACAGTATGGACATTATGAGTTTAGCCAATGCACTAGTCACTTTTCAATCCCTCATGAACCAAACATTTGCCCCTTATCTTAGGAAATTTATACTGGTTTTCTTTGATAACATCCTAGTTTACAACCCTACCAAAGAAAACCATTAACTCACCTAGCCACTACCCTGAACATTCTCAAACAAAATACCCTCTATTCCAAATCATCAAAGTGTTTTTATCAGCGTGAGAACCCGTCTTTGTTCTTCCCATATTTCCCACGAACGACTTGCGTTCACAATGTCCTTCTCTTTTAGAACTCTCCATCCGTTCTTGGACAAGAGAGCAAGGTTGGTATGACGAAGAGAAGGCAACCCAGCACCACCATTGTCTTTTGGCTTAAGAAGCTTTTCCAACCAAGAAGATGGGAGTATCGTTTTTCCTCCATGTCGCCCCAGATAAAAGCTCTATTGATACTGTCAATTTCCTTGCAAATTGAGGTGGGCAACAGCTTAGTCTTCATTGGATACACAGGCTTAGAGCAGGAAATTGAACTGGGAACAGTTAAATGAGCAGATAAAGAGAGTTTCTTCTAAATGCGCAAATTCATATCCGTATAGCGATCCTTGGTCACTCTCGAATTGATCGCCATAACTCCAAGATATCTTCCCAGGTTTGGCGTGAGGGGAATTCATGCTCTCAAACCCAACTCTTCTGTTGTCTCCCTGCCAACATTAGGAGAGACAAAAAGCAGGGACTTTTGGAGGTTAACTTGATGCACCGAGCAGGTGCAGAACTCCTCCATGCACCGTTAATCACATCAACTTGACTTCTACTAGCCTTTGCAAGCATCATGAGATCGTCAGCAGAAAAGAGGCGAGAGAGCCTCGGGCCACCAGGGGAGAGAGTGAGTGGTTTCCACAGTTTCTTCTCGATGGCCAGTTCAATGCGGTGAGATAAGGAGAGAGGGGATCTCCCTGATGAACTCCACGATTGGGAATGATAGGCTCAGAGAGGCTCCCATTTCAGGATATTTGTATTTTGTTTTTCTCCATGCAATACATAATGCAGTGAATCCATGAGCTCGAAAGGCCGATTTCCATGAGAGTGTCTCTAATAAAATCCTATCGGAGTCGATAGTACGCCTTCTCGAGGTCAATCTTTATCACAATACCACCCTTCCTTCCTTTTCGCTTCTTGAAAGAGTGTAGGACTTCCTGAACCACAATAATGTTATTGATGGTTTGGCGTAGGGGTGGCTATACGGTCCGGTCCGGTTAAATTGGACCAAATTGATCCGGTCCCAGCCCGGTATTTTTGGGAATATAAAGACCAAAAATTGGATTGGATACACTCCAGTCTTGATCTGGTCCGGTCTTTACCCGGTCCGGTCCCAATTTGATTTTGATTTTAGATTGAGTTTGTGGGGATTTGAGTGTTGGGGTCTCTTATCCGGTCTTTATCCGGATTTTTCACCTCAAATATAAGCCCGAATATGAGATTGGATTGTTTGCTATCCGGTCCCAGTCCTGTCCCGGTCCGGGTTATACAGTCCGGTTTCGGGTAAAACCAAACAGTCCTGGACCAAATTGCCAGCCCTAGTTTGGCGGCCCCGGCCCCGAATGAAGCTAGTTTTTATTTTATGTTATTATACGAATGTTAGTATTGGAAGAATTAAATTTGAGCAATGTAGGACATATTTATTTAATTTTAATACGAATATGAATGGCAATACCGAAAATAGAAGTTTTGGCAAGGTAGTTTTGGGTACATTCCCGGTGGGCCGGGGGGGAGCCTATTTATGTAACCATCGGGGTAACGGGAGCAGAATAATTGGAGAAATCGAAGGAAGGAGTGCGTAGTGGTAGGCGATTAGTGCTGGGCGTCGCGATGCCGTAATTCTGTTCGCGTGCTCGCTCTCGGCTCTCTCACTGCGCGATCGATCGCTCTGCTCCAATTCCTCGCCGGTCTCTTCTTAATTGTCGATAGTTTTTGTTTTGAAAAGTACGGACGGGGATCCCGTCCACTAGTCTATGATTGGATTTCACGCCGCCGTCCAAAGGTAGAAAACCAAACCTCTCCTTCATCTTTCGTTCAGTTCCTGCTTTTATTAGGGAGATTGATTTTGCCCCAAAAAGTAAACAGTTCTGCTCTCACCATTAAAGAGAATCCCATCTCTTCTACCAATCTATCTATCTTTTCTTCATTATTCTTCTTCCGATTTCGTTCTTTCTTACTAAATCTCATTTTGTGCGAAAGTACACATAACAAACTCAAATTAATTTTGCAGAGAATGGACCCCGCGGAGAAGAGAACTTTGATGATGAAGCAACTGGCGCGACAACTGGACGAGATCGAGACGGAAAGTCAGGCCAGGATCGACGCAGCTTTTGCGCCACTGCAGCAAACCAAGAATACCATGCGACTTATCTTTGAGGGCTACATGGCCAACCGTGACTCCTTCCCAGTCGAGTCCCAAGATGACTTCGACATTGTCTTCATACTCCACGGTCAAGGCTTGCGGTTCAAGGTTAGGCTCTATCGAGAGCCTCTAGGAGATGCTCTCTTCAGCGAATTCCAGAGAGCATTGACCAGATTGGGAGACATAGAGTTTGAGACTGATGAGTCGACCTGCCCCTGTGCCAGCAATTTGATCATCACCTGAGCATCTCTGATGATGCTAGCTACATATGCCAAATATATGTATAAATTATATGATATGAACCTATCATTTTTTCCCCCATTTGTAGTGATTTGAGAATTTTTACATTTCATTAATAAAACTTTATGATGTACTTATTTAATAATCACTTTATGAGTTACTCTTTGTGCCAAAACAAATCGAATCATGATACTAACATTACCGCAAATACAAAATTTATGTTTCTTTATTACTTCTATCTCCCTGGATAAAGGTTGGTTGCTGATGGGTTGGACTTTCAATTTAGGGGTCGTTTGCTTGAGTCACTTTGATATCAAATGACTTAATTGAGTTGTCCACATGGTGCCGGGTGCGTTTGTGAATTGTCCGCAATTTTCTTCGATTTCACTATCATCTTTTGGATTCAATTATTGACAATCGCTCGACCAATAAGAACTTCAGTTCTCGCAGGCTCAATTATTGGTATCAAATGACTTAATTGTGTTGTCCACACATTGTCGGGTGCGTTTGTGAATTGTCCACAGTTCTTTTCGATTTCGCTCTCGGCTTTTGGATTCAATTATTGACACTCGCTCGACCAATAAGAACCTGCGTTTTGGCAGTCTAAAAGGCTGTGACGAAGATTGTCTAGGGAACCAATGGAATGAGATGGCCATAGCATCGAATATCACTAGGGTATTTTACGTTGTATACATTTGTCCTATTGATTGAGATATAAATATGTAACTAGGTGGAGATGTCGCGCCTTGTCGCGGGGCGGAGGTGGCTTATAGACATGTATTATGTGGTTTCTTATGGTGTTTTGTAAGTATTATTAGTCTAAAATTAATTTTTCGTTAGTAGTTTTGTTAGTAATATTGACTTGACAATATAATATTGATTTACAAGAGATATACGGCAGTCAATATCCAATTTATTTATTTTTTTGAAAATTTTGGCTAGTAAATGATATTTAACTAAATTCAAGTAGACCCATTAATTATGGGTAGGGTATGGATGACACATATATGGGTTGCGAAGTTTGTATTCCTTTTGCTTCTCTTTAGAGTTTTTCTTTTTCACCTGGGCTAGAATTTTTAACAAATATACATGGAATGCTTAGTTAGATATCTATACATATCAAATCTCATAGTGGAAAATGAAAACTTTTTAATAACTAATATCATATATATTTATTTTTGATTGGGCTCGACATTGAGCTGAAAAAAGTTAGTGGTTCATAGTTCAGTTATTAGTTCTCTAGACTGTTTGTGAGTCGTGTATGGGCCCATTTGTACTTGTAATTAGAATATATAATGGTTCAATAATTTTATATTAAATTTTGGGGTATCAAAATGTAAAATTTACATTATAGTATATTAATTAGGTTTAGACGAAAAAGGCAAAGAAAGAAATAAAGAAAGGGTTATGGAAGGCGAGTGAAAAATGAAACGAAAAGCAAGTAGATGATGGAAAGGTTTTGACCAATTCTTTTAGTTGGTCATCAATACAACAATCAACCCTTTTCACCGTACCAATTTATTGACACTTGCTTATGTAGATGTTGCATATTTTGTTACATGTAGTTAGTAGAAGTTTGTTTAGCATCCCGTAAATGTACTAAATGAGTTCATAAATTTGCTCTTGCAATATTTTAGAGTCGTATCTCTTTTATTATTTATTTAATGTTGCACGTAATGGGCAAATATAAAATGGCCGAATATTCTCCTACGGTTGAGTGGTATTGAGTGATACAGCACATTGTACAAACTAAATTTATACTTTTATGTTATGATGGATTGGATTCAAAAGGATTGATGTATTGGATTCATGGACCAATATGTAAATTCAAAAAATTGTAGGTACGAAAATCTCATAAAATTTAGATACCAAAACATAATTGTTCAATAATTTATATTAAAATTAAATTTGGGGTATCAAAATGTAAATTTAAAAAATTATAGGTACGAAAATCTCACAAATTTTGATAGCAAAACATAATTGTTCAGTGATATTATATTAAAATTAATTTTTGGGTATCAAAATATTAAAATTTACATTATAATGACTAAATTATGATTTAATTAAATTTGAAGTATCAAAATATAAAATATTAGGCAACAATAACCTAACATCAGCTTTATATATATTAACTACCTATTAAACCTCATTGATATTGGTATTTGAAGTTTTGTCTCTTACTGTGTTGCTACCTGCTAAACTCGTAGTTATACATGGTTGTTACTTGCTTCCAAACTTGATAAACACATTCTTCAAGTCACATGAACCCTAGATCATAATTTAAGGGGCAAAGTTTATATGCCTTACTTCAATGCTTGGCTTATCTTCTTCACTTTGATGCTCCTTGCTTGGTTTTTAACTCTCAGATTTTACTCTTGCAAATGAAGGAGACACCTATGAGTATTGAACTACCAACAAGTCCTGTTTTGGTGCTTGAGACATCTACATTTCATGTAGGTTTCAATTATCATCTAGAACCTAGCTTCTTTGTCAGTTTGCTCGATTCTATGGGATTTTGATCATTTAACCGATATGTTATTCATGTAGGTTTCAATTATCATCTAGAACCTAGCTTCTTTGTTAGTTTTTGTTGAAGGTATAGGTGGTTTAGTTCATTAATTCACATAATGGGCTTCTTGAGGTGACGTTGATCAAATTTTATTCTCTCATTAGGCTACATGACCTATATTTTATTTCAAGTTGTTTCGCTCATTGCACACATGTTATCATGCTAAGAACATGTCTATTTGCATTTCTCATTGTCATCTCAACTTCCATCTTACTTGCTCGATGAGATTGATAAATAAGAACAAGTACAATGTATCGTAGATTGGATAAGGTGGGGCTTGCTATTTGCCGCCAACCAAAAAAAAAAGAGTATATATATACATCTTTGGGTAAGGAGTTTCACAATCTACAACATATCCAACTTTCAGAGAACGTATTGAATCAGAAAAATTCAACACTCGCTGGAAAAGTCGCTGGAAAATCATCGGGAAAGCATATACTCGACATATACTGCGTACACGCATCAATGAATCATCACTAAGCAGGTGCGTAATTTTTTTGTAGTTTCGAACAATTTTTCCGACGATTTGAAACGAACAGACGGTGGGCCGAAAATTTCCGGCCGCCGAAAATTTCCGGCCCCCGGAACCTGGCCGGGCCGAAAAATTCCGGTGGCCGGAACCTGGTCGGGCCGAAAAATTCCGGCGGCCGGAACCAGGCTGAGCCGCAAGATATTTTCGGCTCAGCCTGGCTCCGGCCGCCGGAATTTTTTGGCCCGGCCAGGTTCCAGCCACCGGAAATTTTCGGCCCGGCCAGGTTCCGGCCACCGGAAAATTTCGGCCCACCGTCTGTTTTTGAAATTTTTCGGAAAAATTCGATTTTAGGAGTTGAATTTAGATTTTAGGAGTTGAATTTAGAGTTTAGGAGTTGAATTTAGCGTTTAAGAGTTGAATTTAGCGTGTAAGGATTGAATTTAGAGTTTAGGAGTTGAATTTAGCGGTTAAGACTTGAAATTAGCGTTTAGGTTCACAGGAATATTGATGTATTATATTGTAATTGTAGGAAAAATGTCAGAGTTGTTACCGGCCGACCATGATTACACACAGGAATTTGAGAATGGGATCCATTATGCAAGTGTGGAGTTAGCTGAGTTAGCTGCAAAAACAATCGCTCAGCAGTGTGGGTTCTTTATTATTAGAGGAGCATGGAAACCGAATACTGCTGGACTACATCCTGTTACTGCCCTCTGTATGTATTGCGACAGAAGTAGTAAGATCGTTAAGTCTTATAAACCAGACCCTACGAAGGAGACGCGTGGGAATATTAGTTCGAAGGGTACTGGTTGCCAGTTTCATATATGTATAAAGGAAGTATGGCAAGAGAATGGTCCAAACACATGGGTCATAGTGGGAGTGACAAGTCGTGAAACCGGAGCTAATAGAGGGTTTCACAACCATGAAAAGGTGTTGTATCCAGAACATCACCGACACAACAAACAGTTTCAGCTGAAAAAGAGAGGTTAAAATTAATGAGGAAGGCGGGGGTGAGACCAAATCAGCAGAAGACGACACTCACTACTGAAGGGGGTGTGCATCATGATATCAAACAGATGTACAACATAAATTCCAAGACAAGATTGGATGAGATGGGTGAAATGGATGCGATACAGTTTGCGCTTCACGGAGCTGAACATCGTGGGTACCATATCTGTTTGCAAAAGGACTCTAATGATGTGCTCACTAATCTGTTTTTTGCGCACCCGACGTCCATTCAGATGTTGCATGCATGGCCGTACGTCATCCTCATTAACTCGACCTACAAGACCAACAGGTACGGCTGGCCATGGGTTGAGATTATTGGGGTTACTCCAGTGAAGAAGAATTTCAACATTGCATGTGCAATTATTAAGCAGGAAACAAAGGAAACATATGAGTGGCTGTTGCGATGTATTAAAGGGTTGCTCTGTGATACGGTTCCGAATGTCATTGTGACAGACAAAGAAGGTGGTTTGCTTGCTTCTATTCATGTGGCCTTCCCTCTCCCACATACTGTCCACCTACTATGTTTATGGCATGTCAACAACTGTGTGAAGCAAAAGTTTGAAGTGTTACTTGGTGGAATTGCAAAAAGAGAGGTAGCACAAGCGGTATGGAAGAAATATTTCGACAAAGCTGCATGGAGTTGGACTCAGGAGGGTTTTCTTCAAAAGATTAATGAGTTTGAGAGGGTTTGGACAGTGAAGAACAAAAAAATGGTCGACTACGTGCGAGGTGAGTGGTTGCCTCATCAGACAATGTGGGCAAAGTGCTACACGAACCATGTGTTTCATCTTGGTAACACGAGCTCGAATAGAGTTGAGTCATCTCACTCTTCATTCAAGACTTTCCTTGTGTCTGGTAGAGGAGAGATCGACACTTGTTTTGCGAAGAACCACAACTACATGGAACATCAGTTTCTGGAAGTGGTGAATGAACTGCACAAGTCACTGAACCGCAATCTGAGTAGGGCAATTGAGCCTCCGTGCACGTTTTTGAGGAGGGTCGTTAGTTCTGAGGCAATCAAACTGATGTTAGATGGGGCGGCGGAGTTTGAAAGACAGTTGTGCGTGTCATTTTCAGATGACACT